CTTGTTCACTGTGTGTGTGGGTGTGTTTGCTGCGAGAGATAGAATGTGTGTGCGAGTGTGTGTTTCGTATCGGTGTGTCTGACTGTCTGGGGCCAATGTACTCGGTCAGTGCATTGCACTCGCACTCAGTCATCCCAATCCTCTTTGTTATGCCTCTTCGCGTTGTTCTGTATCTCGGTATCTTGAGTTTGACGATCGGACGAAAAGAGCAAAGACGGGAGTAGACGCTCTTTGGTATAGGGTGGATCAGTTCAAGCGATTGATTGGAGTTCTCTTACCTGAAGGTTACTGTAAAGAGGGTCACACTGTATGTATGTGCGACTATGTTAAAAGTTGAATAAATATTTGAAATAATGGCTGCCAAATTGCTATTATTCCAAACCAAATGGGATCACCAGACCAGACCAGGCCTTTGAAATTCCCCTTAGATTAAAAAGTCGCTAAAAATTAATTAAATAATTATTGGAAATGCAATATAATAATCGTTTCAATTAGTTCCATTTTGAAATCATTGAGCTATGGCTCTTTATTTCGAGTGTAATGCGGCATTCCCTCTTTCGCCCAATCAGTAGGGGCTATGTGTACTTACTATGTAGCATTATCGTCTACTTGTTCCTGCTAGGCACTCTATGCCTAGATAATGTACTAGTAATAATACTCCATAGATACTCTTTCAGCTTCTGCTTCCTACCTGGTGCCAAGTCAACTAAATGATGCACTGAGAACTTATAGAGGAGAATGAAGCTGCCCTCCGCCCCATGCACCGTGGCTGCACTATGTTGCAGTTACGACATCGTCATCGCATCTACGTACAGAGTGCAATTTCTTCTTCTACACGTAAAATGCACGTAGCTGCAGTTATCTCTATCTCCCTCTCCAGAGCTAGCCCTATCTCTCTCGCTCCCTCTCTATGGCTCTATGGCTCTCTTTGGTCTATGGGCTCGAGTGTGAGTGTGAGTCTCGAGCCGGCGGCTCCTATTGCCGCCCCCTCCAGCCCAGTGCCGTCAGAGAGCGTCAGCTGATGGAAAACTGTTTGAAAAGTGCATCTCCCGATGCACGATGCACCGACACCCGCGACCCGCTTTTGCCTTGCATCTGCCGAAGTGTAGCCCCAGACCGAGGCCTAGTCGAGCCTAGAGTCCGACGCGTCGTCGTCTGCTTGGAAAAACTCTTTGAATTTTCTGTTAGACAGAGCCCAGACGGCATAGACCAACGATCCATGAGCGAGCCATGAATGAAGCAGCAGCAGCGCCAGACCAATCCAATGCAACCAATGCACCTATTGGGGGCACATGCAACTCCAACTGGTTGCATCTATTGCCCCTACGTCGTTTGCTATGGCTAGGAAAAATCCTGGCCTCAGTTTTCCCCAAATGAAAACCACACGAATGTGTGTCTATCGGTTCATAGAAGATGCCCCTCCCCAAAAATGTTGGCAGTCCTCCTGGCGGACCCTGTTTTGGGGGTACTTCTGCCTCAACCTCCGTTGCACGCGTACCAATGAAAAATGGTTGAAAAAAAAGTTTTGAAAAAAACGTTGTATGATTTTTCTTCGTCAATATTTTGTAACAGAGACGCAGCACCGATGCAGAAGCGGATTCCCGGATCCGACGACGACTTGTGTAACAATAAAAAATGCACACACACGGTCAGGGCGAGAGCGAGAAAGAGTGATAGAGACTGACTGCGAGAGGGAGCAGTCCTCCACATCGGTTACTCTTTTCTACTTCCCCTCCAAATGCAGTAGCCGATTGCCACAGTTCTATGTGGCTGTGTGTGTATGTTTGTGAGTCTGGCTGCTATCTCTCTTTCTGTGTATTTCTCCTGCTTTGAACGTTTTTTCAATGAGAGCAAGCGAGTCAGGCACAAAACGGTACGAAAGAAACAGCAAAAGACCAATGCAATTGAACTTTTGCTCGGTACAGTGTAATGAAATCATTAGGAAGGTGTTCAACATAAAGGTACAGTTTCGAAAAATAATTGGTACAACAATAAAACAAAATTTGTATTAAAGGCAACCTTTAAAATCTATCTAGCTAGAGTGTTTTTCGTTAAAAATGTAAATTCGCAAAATAAATCTCTAAAATATATCTAAATCGGAAAATATACGTTTTCGGGCCTCCAAACTTTAGATCCATCATAAAATACAACACGTTAAACTGAACAAAGATTCGAAATCCATTTGTAACATTTTTCTCAAATAGTTTTCACTCAACTGTTAACCGACCCGAGCCCACTGTGCAAGTGCATTCTCCCTCACACTCGCATACGCTCGCAAACATACACCGCTACGCTGCTTGCTTGTGTAACTGCAGCTGAGTGAGAGAGGGAGCAAGAGAGCGATTCAAAAAAAGTCGAAGCCAACCAAAGAGCAAAAGAGGCAATGCAAGTGCATCTCAGTCGATGCGCTGCAGCGCCATCAGCTCCCAGCAGCCCCCACACACCAAAACACCCCAACAGACGAAGGCAGACACAACGGCGTACAGCAAATGGAGAGCAATGACGTTTGCTCGTCTCTCACACACTCACACAAACCTGACACTCACTTGGACATGTATTAACTTGTATCAAGATTTGTGTATGGGAAAGGTCTTTGACTGCAAATCTCCTGCACGCGAAACAAGACGCGCACCTGCTCCGCCCCATTCTCGCTCGCTCTCACACAAACACAGTCGCAAGCGAGTACATTTTTGCATTTTGCTGTATTTTTTTGCAAAAAAGTGCATCGCGTCGCTACGAAATCTGGGCTCCTTTTCCCAATGTAACACAACCATGCACCATGCGAGTGCGGATGGCCCCTAGGGGACCCGTTACGACAAAAACGGTGTGGACGTGGCTTTTACAGCTCTTTCAACCTGGATGGAGATGGAAGTGGGATTCTCTCGGAGATGGGTAACAGGATTATCGTTAGGGACCTGACAGGAAGCGGCAGTGCCAGTGCTCATTTTTATTACATGTAATCCCTCTCCCCTGGCGGCTGCGGGCATTCACTTCCACCAGTGGAGCCGTAGGTTCTCCTCCTGGTGTACGGCTACAGCTCCTCCAGCTGGCGGCCAACTCGGAACACTCTGGGGTCCGCCGGCTGCGTGCACAAAAGTAACAAAATGTACTGAATGTCATCAGGCTCTCAGATTTCTGTAGAGCAACGATTTTACATTACGCTGTTCGTTGTCGTCGGACTTTGTGGGGGGCTCTCCTCTCAGTACGGTACACGCTCATTGCGCGATATTCCCCCCCTCTCATTCTTCCAACCACTCTCTTACTTTGTGTGTACTCGCTGTGTGCGTGTATCTGTACTAGGCATGTGCATGTGTGTGTGCGCTATACTTGCGCGGCTGCTCCCCTTTCAATCCGCCCTCTCCAAAGCACAGTACGTGTATTATCTGTGGCTCCACTCCCCTGTTGACTTTTTTTGTTGTTTTTGTGTGCCTTTGCCTTTGGCGGGGTCTTTGCTCTCGTTTTGCTTTATCATTCTCGACTTGTCTTTCCTTTTTCTGGTGCGCTTGCTGTGTGTGTGAGAAAAACAGCCAGAAAGAGATAGAAAGAGCAGCGTTGCAGCGCCAACAAATGCACATGCATTTTTGGGCACCCTATTCATTTGACATTCGGCTGGAAACAAGATAGGGATTTAGCCATACGTCACCATACATACATAGTACATACAAATATTGTACTCGCGGCTTATGGATTAGAAAATTTATAAAATTAAAAAAAAAATTAGACCACACAAAAAACCATATTTCTTTAAAAAATACACTACAATCGCGGCGTAAGTATTTTATTCCCAGTGCCAAAAGTCTCTAATATCTAAAATTATTATATTATTGATATTTAAATAAGATTAGACTTAGTGGCCTAGAAATTTCGTACTCTGATTCAGGCAACTGCGCTGAGAAATAAATACGCAATTAATAGGCAATTCAGTTTACATTTAAAGCTAAATCCAGCTAGAACTATTGAAAAAGTCTAGCAAAACCAGCCAAATGTGAAAATATGCTAAAATGGCAGCAATGTTGATCAATTTCTCTTAAAAGGGCAAGAGCAGTCTGAGCCTGGCGTCATTTCGAAAAATGTTTTTGGACAATTAACATTTAACATCTATCCAACTGACTGCCTGTCCAGTTGGTACTCTCCTACAATTTTTTGCATTATTCATTATATTTAAGTGGCAAGTCTTGCCATAGGATGTATTTTCTTTCAAATGGTACAAATAATTGTTTGCTCTATTAGATGATGATTTTTTACTCAATCTTCAAATCTTCATCTACGAATGTTTCGGAAGAAACCACATTCCTCATCAGCGAACTTTTATTTTCCTAAGAATGAAAAGAGACGCTCCTCAGCTCACAGACGAACACGAATTTTTAGCAGCCAATCTTTCTCAGAGGCGCACACTGCACGAGATAGGTGGTCCAGCGAGACAGAAGGCATGTGGGGGGTAGCCACTACTTGCAAATGAAAGTGATTGTCCGGTTGAGCGTTATGGACTTTTATCTTAGTCATTGGATCTATCTGTTCAACATTCTGAAAATTTCCAAATCTGGTTTGACGCATTCTGCACTTGCGATTCTATCACAAGTTTTGTCCTTGCTATCTTGAGCATTCGAAATCGATTTTATCAATCTCTTAGGCAAAAGGATGGATTTAAATTCGAAGATACTTATTGCAGGCCCTGGCCTATTATTGCTGCAGAAAATAAAACTTCAAACCCCAAGTGCACTAGCAAAGACAAAACTTGTAATAGACTCGCAAGGCACCCTAGACTCTTTAACTTAGTATTACCATTACTATTAAGGTTTAGTATTTGTATAGAATGTGTGCTAGTAAACATTGTGCTAGGGATAGCAAAGAGGAAACTTGTGATAAAGTCGCAGGTTCTTTAAAAATAACCCAAGTGAGATGATCCAAATGTCTGCTCTTCAAATCTAAATCTCATCTAGCTGCATCTAACTGCAGTGATAGAAAGCAAACAATTTCATGAATATTCTTTAAAATTCGGGAACATTTAGGCCTTCTCCTCCTTCCCCTTTTTATTGTATAATTAACTTAAAACGTTCGCTTGATATGCTTACGATTTGGACTTAGGTCTAGGAAAAACGCTCACACGCTGATATGCATTGGATTTAGCTAAGAGAGAGCTTCAAATTCACGATTTCTGATATGTATCGATTTCGACTTTCAGGATCAACAATAATTATCTTTCAATAACTAAAAATTCGTCTAACATTAGATAGATAACATCGCAGGGTGCTGCGGTCGTTTTGCATGTGTAAATTATGTGACTGGAATGGGACTTTCTGCTGCTTATTTCTGGGCATCTTAACTACGTATCACAGTTTCAAAAGTGCGTGGGAGACTCCTCAATCGTTGGGCCTAGAACTCATTTGCCTTTGGTGGATTGGTGGTGCCACAGGCTTCCTTAAAGTTGGTGGCATTCAGCGGGGCAAAGTAGTCCTCGTGCAGAAAGCGAATAATATTCTCGATGGGACACAGATCCGCCTTGTTGCCCCTCGAGTCGCGGGTGACACGCAGACTCTTGCCACCCTCGCAAAAGTCAATCTGCTGCGTAACATCCCGCCCATTGTAGACGACCCGAAAGTAGTAGTCTGTGTGCGCCTCGCTGCGGTACACCTCGAAGGCCAACCGCGAGGCGTACGCAATGGTCTGGCCCTGGCTATTGGCGATACCCAGCGCCGCTGTCAGATACTGCATGGTGCAGTCGTGGCCGGAGTAAAGGACAAACTTGGTTCGATCTCCGGATATCATCTTGAGCATGTAGCTGACGATGTGCCGTATCATGCCATAGGATCGCAGCAGGCCGGACAGCTTGTAGTAGGCATGATCCGCGGAACGCTTGGACAGATCATCGGCAAAGGACATCAGGGTGTCCACATGGGTCGCCTCCACGCAACCCTCTTGATGATCCGCCTCTCCCTGTGGCGATGAGGGATTGCCATTGTCCGCCTCATTCGATTCTGGTTCCACGATGCCATTGTTTGCCTCTGGCTGCAGATTGGTTGCCGTCTCATCCTGATCAATGTTGATGACATCCACCAGCTCCTGATTTGGATTCTTTCGCGCTGGCCTGGCCGTCGGACTGCGTTTCTTGTGCCGACAAGGCAGCGCCGCCTCGTGGCACAGCACCGTCAGCATAGCGTCGACAACTTCAAAGGGATTGGTGATGCCATTCGGTGTATGCTGCAACAAGGTGCCGCCAATCCATTGCATTGCCTCCAGCACATCCGTTTGCCTCAACAGCTGCACATCGCCCATGGCCTGCAGTCGTTTGCGCAACAGCGCCGACTGGGCACAGGTGCACTCCCCAAAGCAGAAGGCCATGCTGTGGGATTCGCGCACGTTTAGGCCCAGCCACTTGTCCGCCGGCAGCAGGGTGAACAGCATGGCCAAAGCGGACTGAAAGGTGCGACGATAGCGTGTAGTGTAGACCACCACCTCATCCGAATTGAGGAGCGTGTGCGGTGTAGTCTCCGTGCCACCTCGACTGAGTGGCGGCTTAAGCAGCAGCCCCAACGGATGTGCATACACCTGATGCATAATGTCGCCCACATGCAGCAATTGAGAGATGCCCCTGCGGAGAGTTGAGATGAAAAGCATTCATTTGTGTATGCCAGTACTTACTTGTAGGTAAGCTGCCCCAATGGACAGCCACGCTCGGTGGCTGGCAGCAGCGGAAAGCCATGAAAGGGTCCCACCTTGTTCCAGTACATGTGATTCGAGCCCGAAGCCGAGCTGCTCGAATTGTGCAGAAAACTGCGATATCTGGGGGGAGAGAAAATATTGATAGAGCATAGGATTACCCAACTGGGATAACCCACCTGTTGACCAGGTTATCAGTGCCCCCAGCCACGCCACAATTGATGCCAGTGGTGCGCACATGCGACATGGGTCCACGATCCCCGTGACGTATGACCAGCAGCACGCCCTGCAGCTTCCAACCCTCCAAGATGCCGCCATCATCCAGACGCTGCAGCTGTGCCAGCGGTGCACAACGCTCCCGATACTTGGCAAAGCGCTGAGCATACGACGAGGCGGAGTTGTCACCCAAGGAACTGATTGTGCCCGAGCTGGGGCCAAAGCCAGCGCCAGCACCAGAACTGCTCTCCATACTTCCCATATAGCGGTACATGCCTGCAAAGAAGGAAAACCTTTGATTAGATTTGGGTGCTTCAGTGTGCAGTTTGGACTTACCCGCTATGAGTAGGAAAATCCAAATGCTGAGCAGCACATAGCAGTAGAAGGTGCGATGCTGCGTGGCCAGACGCATCAGTTCCTTGAGCAGCAACATGCTAACACAACCTTGCACCACCTCGTTCTGCCCTTACCCTTCACACAGCGACTGTTCCAGGGCATATGCTCGATGGCGGCACTCTCAGAGGGTATGCTTGGACCTTTAAAGTTGATAGTTTTTTGGGCCAAAATCTGCTTTTCTTCCACTTCGTTTGGGGACCGTTTTGACAGCTGGGCTAAAAGAAAAACCTGGTTTAATTGCAAAGAGAGGGCGAGAGGGTGGATTGGAACTGTCAAGCGACGACGTGGAGCATGTCCAATTGTCAAGGCATGCGCACTGGAAGAGGTCACAGCGTTATCAGCTGTTGTTTGGTGGGAAATTTAAACAAACCAAAAAAAGCACAAACATTTACAGATTTCTTTTGTGAATTAGCTTCAAGCTTCGAGTGTTTTTACTCTTTTAATTACAAAATTTTAAATGCTTTTTTTTTTGGCTGCAAGCTAAATAAATAATTTGGATTATAATATTGTATGTGGTATATGTTTGTATATAGTTATATCTGACAGATCAGAGATCATCGCATTCTCTTTCTTTCCAGACGCCGCCTAATCCTGCGCAGCAGTCAAGGCCAAAACGGTGAAACGCACTTCGGTGGGATCACGTGCCATAAACTCTTTGCACACCTTGGCCGCATCGTTCACAAAGGTCTCCTCGGTGGTCTTGCCATGCTTAATGGGAAACGATTTGCGTCCATCGAGCTCATACAGCGTGCCCTCTTTGTTCACCAATGCAATGAAATGATGGATGACATTCTCATGCTCCTCGGCATTGGTCTGACCCTCCTGGGCCAAAGCCTGATGATCTGCTGTGAACTCAGTGTCGTGCTCCAAAGCATTGCCACGCTCCTCGGGCGACAGAGCGGCAGTTTTCTCGAGGAACTTCTTGAGCACTCCACCAGTTACATCCACCCTGCAAAACAAAACACATCAGTTAAGAGTTCGATGTGAGTAAAGGAAACTTACTCCTTATTGTTGGCCACGCTATGGATGAGGGCCACAGTGCCACAAGCATTGTGAGTGAACTGGCGCATATAGAACAGATCCTCGGGATGCTGCTCCTTCACATCCTTGATGCGCTCATGCTCCTCAGCACGATGTTTCTCATACTGCAAAATGGTGACTAAATAAACGCCAGAAACGGTATTTGTTTGTGCAGAGGGGTGACACTTACAACCTCACTGCATGGAAAGAGCAAGATAAACGCCTTCACTGGACGGGGAATAAATGCGAGCATGTCTTCGTCCAGCCCCATGACGTCAGTCACAGACCAGGCCGGCGACACGCCTAGCTTGTGTATGTACTTGGTCAGCACCTGGGAGAATGGGTATCAATATCAATGGCGTCTTATAATTGCCAATTTTCAAAGGAGACCTTTTTGCAACGCCGGCCAATCAGCGCATATCGCTGTTGCATGTGTTATAAAAGCAGCCGCAACTAAAAACAACTGTTCTACTTACATCTGGGTTGGATTCAAGTGGCGTCCAGGTTGACATTTTTCTAGATTTTTGGTTTTTCTTACGTTCTGAACAAAATTTCGAAGCAAAATGGCTTTGACGGAGAATTACCGGCACTTTTGTGGTGTCAAAGTGTTGGGAGCTTCCTAAGTTAGCTTTTAACAGTGCTAGACAGCAAATTTATTGCAAAGATTGCAATGGATGTGTGTATCGACATACGGGTTTGGCCATCTCTTTGCGGAATATTTTGGTATATTTCTGAGGGACCGATGGTATATGTTTTCGATAAATTATTGTTTGCCATCTCAATTGTTAAAAAAATGACCAAAATAAACAAAACGCCTCTAAAACAATGCGAAACAGATATAAAAAATACAACTTTAACACCAGTGCGATGTAAGTTGAGTTAATCAGTAAGTGTGTGCCTATTTTAGCATGGTTTTATTATAGACCTGGACAGCCCTTGCCAGCAATCTCCTACAAGTCACGATGCAACTTTGGCCACCTGCAAAACGCGACTGGAAACGTTGGTGAAACAACTCCAGGATAACTATGCCAAATGGCAGCTAGCACAGCAGCGCGGCACCGCCATCTGCTATGCCATCGAGGCCAAGAAGACCAAGTGCCTGGAGAAAAGCGAGGGTGATGACGGCAGTGGCTCTGCCTATCCAGATGATCTTTTGTTGCCCTGCAAAAAGTTGGCCATTATTGCTTCAATCTTTGGCGACATTGCCAACAGCACACGCGAAACACTGAGGCAGCTGCGTGGGCTAACAAAACTGCCTGGAGCGGCTGCAGACACAATATTCTATCGCTCCTGGCGGCTGCCGCAGTTTGTGGCCTTTACAGTGGAACTGGCGGAGCGGTACGAACAGGAGGCGCTGGTCAAGACACAGGTGGCAGGTGGGCAGAAGGTAGTGGATGCCACTGTGAGATTATTTACTTATGTTTCCATTATATTTGTAGAGAACATTGCGCACTGCACGAGGAGAAGCGAACTGATAGAGCACACAAGCCTCTGGGAGTATCCCGAGCATGTCGATGCCTACGTTAAATTGGGATTTCTGCTGCTGGCCGAGGAAGTTACTTTAAAATAATTAAATATAGGGAGTTTTCCATACACAATTGTATATAATTAAAGTTCATACTTTTCTTCTTAATTATAAAAACTTACGAAATGCATGAGAGAATTTGCTTGGAATAATATTTCCAAGTGGAATGCAGAGTTTATATATGTAGATGCTATATGCTAAGGTTATAACTGCTATTTGTCCGAATTAATACACTTTTTAAATGATGTTCATGTTTCACGTTGCTTAACCAAAGGGAATGGCATCGATAGAATGCTTTAGCTTTGGCTCAAGTTGCCACCGAGATCCTGTCCAGTCGTGCGGCTCCATTATACTTTGACCACCACCAAAACCAGGCACAGGACAAACCCACAGCCATGGCTGCGTAGTAAGCGCAAGTAACCAAATTTAACTTTTTCTGCAAGCAACAAAAAATAATACATATAAAAAATGTGAAAATATAAGTCCAATTTTCCCACCTTCTTGCTGCCTGCCTTGGCCTGCGATTCATCTATTTTCTGCAGCTCATCGACTGTTTTTTCAATCTTCTTCAGGTCCTTGGACATCTGCTCCAAGGTCTCCAGCGCAAAGCGACTTGCATAGCGTTTGTCTCCCACCACAAAATCCTCCACTGGCATCACTTGCATCTTGTAATTGGTGGCCGCAAGGGAGGCGCGCAGCGACATGGCATGATTTGTGGTTTTGCCCAGAATCTGCGAATTGTATTGCTTGGCCATGTCCGTGTTGCACAGGTAATCATAGCTGGGATCCTGGTTGGGCATTTTGGCAAACGTTTTGAGCATTTCCTCGCGATGCGTTGCCGAGTTGAAGCCAAACAGACGCAGATCCTCGTCGGTCAGCGTGGCCAAGTCGCGGTAGCTGATGCCATCGGGTATGAGGTTGTCCAAGCCACTGCCGGACTGATCCGTCTCTATGGTGGTGGCCAGCAGCGACTTGAGTAACTCCCGCTCGCGCTCTGTGTCTATCTTGCTGTTGGACTGCACCCAGTTACGCTTTTGATAGCCCAGAAATGATTTGTCCAGCTCCTGTTGATGGGTAAGCGTTTGGAAGTCCTTGTTGGCGCCAAACTGTATAACTGACGGCATATTAGCAATGGATGCCAATGGCACATGTTCCGGGAGCATGTTGGGGCTGTTAGTTACGATCTGCGAGCACCGTAATTCGAGTATTTAACTAATTTAAACACAATTTGCGGCAAAGTTGTCTTGCCAGGCGGAAGATTGCCACTGTGTCGCCAGAGCAGCGTTTACCAGCACTGCACACCGCCCACCAGTGTGTACATAAAGCACGAATGAATTAAATGCTCGACATTTATATTTTGGTTTAACAATTTACATATATTTAAATGAAAAAAAGTTATTAACTAATCTTTTTTGTCCCCTGTTGATGTCCTGTACAGTGGTGTACTGGTGGCGGCCGCCTCCTGCAGACGCTTCATGAACAACGCCTTCCTCTTCTCATCGTCCGTTTGGTTGGTATTAACGCGGGCAGATGCCTTAATACGATCAATTTTATCGGCATTTGGCTCGGTCAGCCGCATCAGGCCATAACCAATGCCACCGAAGGATACAAGCCAAAACAGGGACTTTAAATACGGATTGCCAAACATGGTTTACTCGCTCTTCTTCAAGGCGCTCCAGTAATTGGCGTCCGACTGACGGGCCTGGTTTTCGCCGAGGATCTCACCGATTTTGTAGTAGTAATCAAGCACAAAGGGATAGTTTTCGTGTATATGCTGACGGAATTCTGTAAATAGTGAAATACTTATTATTCCGAAACTTATATAAAAGACGGCCACTGGACATGCCTCGATTCGTGTTCATGCGGTAATAGACGCCGTAGCTGGCCGCAAAACAAACCGCTTCCACCACAAAGAGAGTCTTGGCGCTACCCTTGATGAATCTCCAAAATGCAGGCTTGGGTGTTTTTGGTAACATTACAATAAGTTAAAAGAAAGACACGTTTTAAATTAAAACCAATTCGTCACGAAATTGAAAACAAAAAATTGCTTACGCAGTTACAAGTTAGTGTTGCACAATTCAGAAGTATGGCTAGCGGCACAAACAGCTGATTGACCGGCAGTGTATGCGTGTGAGTACAATTTCTCTTGAGTGCGTGTGTGAGTGTGTTTATCGCACGTTTTTGTTTTTGCCACTGATAACGCGACGCAATTAGGCCAAAGATCTGTGAAAATCTGGTTAAAAACACTGCTAAGCGAATGGAAAACTGCCCATGATGAGTGGCAACATACACGGCCTCAGTTGGTTTCCCAACTTTCCCGACAAATTCGTCTCGTGGGGCCAGGAAATTAATTTGTATGAGGTGCGCAGCAAGGACGATGCCCCGCTGAAAAGTGAGTGTCTAGCATATTGGTTGAGACACACATTAAAACTCTATCTCCTTGCAGGTCGCTTGCCTTATATCTCGGTTAATTATCTGGCCAACGAGTCGCGCTATCAGTATGCGCGTTGTGTGGCCGCTTCCTACCACAGCCATCAGCCCATCATTGCCGTGGGCCTGGCGGATGGCAAAATTGGCATATGCAACTTTCGGGACACCTACGACAGCAGCTGGGAGTACAGTGGGTAGACCAACACTCGCTTTAGAGCACCAGCTAACTCCTTAATGTCTTTTTCAGCGCCGCGACAGCAGCGCATGTGCACGTGCCTGGCCTGGAATGAGTTGGATGCCAACATACTGGCCATAGGACACGATCGGCATCGCTCCGACTCCTGCATAACCATTTGGGACACGGAGCGGGGTGTGCCCAAGGAGACGGCAAACTTTTTTGGTCAGGCAGAGTCCGCGAATTCGCTCTGCTGGGATCGCAACCATCGCATGCTGATAGCAGGCATGAGCCAGAAGATGATCAAGCTGTTTGATCTGAGACGTGAGTGGCACACGGAGCACCCTCCACTGACACACACTCTAATCCTCAATCTGTCATACTCTAGAGAACAATGCCACCTGCCAGAGCATACAAACAAAGACTGTCCAGGGTCTGTCGGTGGCGCCCAATGGCAATGATCTCTGCAGCTATGTGGACTCCATCATTATGCTGTGGGATGTGCGCTCCATTAAGCAGCCACTGCGGCAGATACAATCCTCGCGGAATCATCTACAGATCGCCTGGTGCCCCACCCGCAACAGTCTGCTCTCCTCGCTGCAGCGCGACTCGCCCTACATCACGCTCTACGACATACGCACCGTGGAGAACGAGAACTCGCGGGAGATTTATCATGTGAAGCGACAGATTAGTCCGTTTCCGGCCAAGTATCATCACAGCGGCAAGTTTGCGTCCGTCAATTGCCTCTCCTGGCATTCGCGTGACTTTGAGCGTGCCCTGCTGCTGGCGGATGCGGTGAATATTTTGGACTTTCGACTACCCGCCACACTCCACACGGCGCACAGCAATCGCCGGAAGCTGCCGCTGCTCATGCAGCGTCCGCTGTACGCTCCCGCTTCGCCCACATCCACGACAGCGGCCACGCCCACACAGCAGCCAACGAGCAGCTGCAGCCTGAACAGTGCCAGCAGTTCCAACCTCGATTACAGTCCGCATTCCGCGTTGAATGTGGACTTTTTGGTGCCGGAACTCTTCGAGCTGGACCTGGTGGATGAGACGCGGCAGCGTGCACTCGAGGATTATGGCATCAAGCCGGACAACAAGCGATTTGCCGAGCTGCATCTGACGCCTTATTTGAGGAATGTTTGGTCCACACTCAACAATGTCTACTGCGATGAGCAGTTGTCGGGCGTAAAGTCAGCTTTGGGCATCAATTTGGGCCACACATCGGAGGCCTTAATGGCCAGCTCACGCATTGAATCTCAGCTGCTGCAGTGGCCCGATGGCATCAACAATTCCAATAAGCTTGTCTGCTACAAAAGCGAACAGCGTGATCATGCCCTGCAGCTGTGTGGCTGGGCGTTGGAGTATGAGCTGGAGCGTTTCATCGATCAGTTGTATGACAACAAGGAGTACAGCCGGGCGGCCATGATCTCTGTCTTTCATCTGAAGATTATGCACGCCTGCGGCATACTCTCCGCGGCGGCGGACAAGATGCGCGATCCCAGCATGTACCGGATCACGGTGATTGCTTTGTCCAGCTTCAATGCGGATCGCTGTAGCTCGACGTCGCGTAATCAACGCTCCAGTGCGAATATGCAGATACAGGATCCACATTTGAGAGCAATTTTCTCATTCCTCACCATGGAGAAGGATAACTTTGAAGCTGTGCTAAAGGAGGAGGGCGTATCCCTGGCCGATCGCATGGCATTTGCCTGCAAGTATCTCTCGGAGACGAAGCTGACGGACTACGTCAAGCAGCAGATACAAGCGGCCATCGATTGTGGCGATCTCAATGGTCTGCTGCTCACCGGCGAGTCTCTCGATGGCATTAGCATCCTTCAGTCTTATATGGATGTCAGTTTCGATGTGCAAACTGTGGCCCTGGTGGCCATCAACTACTTCCGGCAGGAGCACTTCACGGACAAGCGCATTCAGTACTGGATTGCCAGCTACTTGGACTACCTCAACAGCTGGGGCCTGTGGGAGAAGCGCGCGGAGTTGGACATCAAAATCGAGGGCATACGCTCGTCAGCACGCAGCTCGCGAACCGTCTACCTGTCGTGCAATTTCTGCGGCAAGCCCGTGTCGAATGCGCTGCTAGATGAGCCGCGGCCGCGCAGCACCACAACTAGCACGAATCGCTTGTCCTCGTGCCCCAGCTGCCGCAAGCCACTGCCACGCTGCTCGCTCTGTCTGATGCACATGGGCACCATGATAAATATGAGCAATGGCGAGACGCCCAGCACAACGCCCGAGGTGCAGGGCTGGCAGACGAAGCCATTTTCCAAGTGGTTCTCCTGGTGTCAGACATGTCGACATGGCGGACACACCGAGCACATTATGCAGTGGTTCAAGTGGGTCCTTTACCTACCTTAAAGTATCAACAGAAATATTTTTAATTTTCTCCTTTCTTTGCAGACAAAATTCGGAATGTCCCGTCTCTTCGTGCAATTGTCGTTGCTTTGATATGGATGGCAGCAAGCCAAATACCTTAAGAGATATTTCCTAGCTGTCCGAAAGTGTGGTCAGAAGCCTTTAAAAGCCACAGCCAACAGCCACAGCCACTATCCACAGCCCATGCCATAATGCCTTAAGTTGTTGATTTCTCTTCCAAAATGTGTGTGAGCGCGTGCGCGCCTTACAACTCAGAAAGTGTTCATTGTACTTAGACAGAAAGGGTGTTTCTATGTGCCCGGTAGAGTTAAGTGTTTATGACCCAACAGCTTTTAGCTGCTCAAAATGCATTTTATACTTACATTCAAATAAATGACAATATAGGGAAGTCTGCGCGCTTTCACTTCACCAATTCACAATAGAGCTTTAGAGGGTTTCACAGCACTATTCTTCGAGTGACCGTTGACTGTTTTAGTATTAGCCCTATTTGGTATAAAATCCAATAAAAGGAAGTCATGAAAACTAGCCAATCTGGTGAGGAAAGGATTCATCTATGGTATAAATTATAGTTTTAGTGATGTGACTCTCAGCTAGCTGGTAATATTAAATAGAACATCAAAATCGCGAACAATAATTTAAGATTGACGGTATATATACAGTATATTTAAAAACAGACATGTATATTTTGGTATATTTCTGATGGTCAGGCGGCTTGTTTCATCGATAAATACGCGGTCACACTGGCAAAACGATTTTAGCTGCAAGATTTTTTTGGTAAGCTTTTTTAACGCATTTTCCCCAAAATCCAATGAAATCGGCTATACAACGACTAACTAGTGGACTAGTACAAGCTACTAGCAAAGTGATTGTTTAGTGTACAGTGCTTGGTAATAGTATGATGTGTACAGGTGCAGAGGTTGGTCTAGCTGCGCAGCCAACGCGTAGTTTCTTCCTTCTGGCTGCGCTCATACTTCAAGAATATTGCCTAATTTCAAAGAGTTCCACTAACGAACAGTGTTTAAAGTGTTTAATTGCCAATAAAGCTGGAGTTGAAGCAGCGGTGGGGGCTACACTTAACGGATATTCGCCTACGAGCAGGCCCCCTACGCCCCAAATGGCGCTGACTGCGCGGTCGGCGTCAACGGCGGCAGCACACACATTTTTGTTGTTGCTATTCTCGACATATGATTCAATAAGAAATAAGAATAAGTGCGACTGATCGACCGCCGCCCGCCCGTTCTCTCTCTCTCTCTCTCTCTATGCCGCTCTTCCGCGCTCTTGCAGTGTTTCAGTTTTTTGTAATATTTGTGTTAGCTGTTGTTGCTGTGAGCTGTAAATAATATTTGAGGAAAAATCTGTGTTGTGTTTGTGCATGGAGCGAAAGTCAGGCTAAAGCAGCAACTATTAGTCGTTGCCACTTCTAAAGCAGAGACAACACAACGCACGCACAAATGGTGGTCGGCTGTCCGTCCGTTTGTTGTTCCCATTTATGCAAACCAAAACCATTTGTATACCCTAAAAGTGGTACAGGGTGTTCCGTTACTTTTACACCGTTTGCAACTTGAAGAGGTAAAGTGTGTGCAAAAAAAGGAAGTCGAGTGTTGACAACAGTGTGAATACCGTAAACTGTGTGCAACAGCTGCAAAAATATAACTAATTGATAATTATCACAAAAA